AACAAAAGCAACCCGACACCACCTGGCAGCCCAACCACAAAACTCAGCCACTGATATTCCACCCTTCTCCCTGCTACACCTGCAGTCACAACAATCTTGAATGGCACAGCTGAAAAGTCTTAAGAAAACTGTAACAATTCTCAGCTACAAATGTCAAAAGCATTGCCAAAAAGAGGTGTAGTACAAACAATCAGAAAGCCGTTTTCCTCTCAAACCTAAAAGGAAAAGCTTTACTAAGCAAAGTACATTCATTATATTTAGTGCACACCAGGACAGAAGCATTTGACAGCCTGGCATGAAAAGGCAGAAGAACCTTTTGCAGCTGGAAGAACAGCATAAGGAAAATAGATTTACTCAACTACTTCAGTGCAGTCAATGCATCCCTAGTTTCAAGGTAATCTGTCCCACACACCAAGGGACTACTTTTGAAGGGGAACCTGTCAGAAAAAGGGCAACTGCTGCCATCTCGCGGGAGGCCTGTATCCTGGCTGCAGAAACCCAAGGCCTGTTGCCCCCCGCCACTTACCGCTTGTAGGCTGAATGGTCATTCTTCACGCTACACTTCATATTTTTCAGCTCATCCAGTACCGCAAACATGTTGATGAATTTGCCCAGCGTGATCAGATAAGCTTCAGACACAAAGTCTTTCCTCCTTTCCGCGTGGCACAAGCGTCTCACCTCCCCACAGAATCGTTCAATTGCATTTCTCTAATGGGGGGGAAAAATGAAAGGAGTAAAAGCCATGAAGTTTCCAGGGAAAAAAGGGTTCAGCGCACAACTGGAACTGGTCTAATGAAAAGCACCACTGAAGCAGAAAAATGCTTAAAGCATGCCAGGCTAACAAGGCATCAGCACAGACTTTTCCAGCTCCACCTCTGTGTATTTGCTGTGTGCTACAAGCATCACTGGTGCTTTCAGCCACAGAGTTTGCCTGGCACAAGGGGCACAAAGGTTCCTCTTTGCAGACTGAAGTCATAAAAGTTTTAAATCCTTTTGAAACAACTGATTTCACTTTCTTTAGTAAGAAAGTGCATATGCATTAAAAGGCAAATTACAGGTATATTCTCTTAAAACAACAAGAACTCCGCAGCACACTGATTAACAGCAGTACATGCTAACTTGCAAAATCATCCTGCCATGTGTTAATTCGAGGGCTTATTTCCAACCGCACATCAGGGCCATTTGATATGGAGATTGCAACTACAAAAAAAGACAGCAATTTCAGATGTAGAGGAATCTGTTCTGAGTTTAGAGCAGTAATCTTGAACAAAAGGAGACTGTTCATAGTCTGTAAGATTCACCAGTTGCGGAAGATGACAGGAAATATTACATTTCATTCAGACTCCTCTTCCTGTGTGCTCCAGGGCTCAAGTGCTCAAGCTGCTCTGGCTATCTCCAAATAATGCCTGGAAACATCCTCAGTCCATTGAACCAAAGGGCAGGCTGCCAGCACGGAAGAAGGCGGCAAGACAGAGGGCTATTCTCCAGTGCTGGCATAGCTGGGGCGGCTGGCAGGTCACAACAACTGGGTCAGCTTGCCCCAATTAGGGATTTCTGTAGCTAAGCTGCACCTGCTGCTCTGGTGTCCAGACTCGTGGATCCCTCACTCGCCAGCAAATAGTTTCTGTGCTGAGATGCTTTTATGTATATATTTGAAACATTATATTTCTCTTTTTTTTTTTTTCCCTTTCTCAAGTGCTGGAACTGTCCCCATGTGCTATGAGGGACCATATGTAATTACCTTCAATTTTATGCTGGAAGTCTTAATGGAGATTGTCTGAGGTTTTTAAGATAGGCATTAGAAATTCTGCCCTTCTGAGAGACAATATGGTTTTTTGGTTTTGTTTTAGTTGTTTGGTTTTTTTTTCCTAAGTATGATGACTAGGTTCAGTATCTGACCATATGATATTAAGCATACAAAATGGGAATATAAAAAATACAAGCCTACTAGTACATTTTGTTTCCATTCCTTTTACCTGAAAATACATAAAATTCATCAGTTTTGTGACTTCTGGCTCCAGAACTTCCACAGTTTTCTCATAAATTTCTACTCTGTTAGGCTGCTCATTGCACTTGACCTGAAAAAAATAAAAGACATAATTACACTTGGAACTTTTCTTGATAAAGCCTCAGAAACTAAGATGCTCACTGACACCTTGAGAAATTGTATTATCAGCCTAGAGAGACAAACTGAAGGCACAAACTGCCAGTTTTGGTAATTTTATGTTCATCTTCTAAGATTAACAGTGTGTGTTTAAAAAAAAATAATTCCAAAGTTTTTCTCTCTATTACCTTACAGCAAATAATTTACTTTTCAAACACCTCTGTATGGCTAGAAGAATATTCTTCTCACTTGCTGAAAGTCATGCACTAAAATAAGGCCAGAACCAGAAATTAAAACAGATTACTTGTTTTCCACTCCATTTAAACCAGAGTATAAGCCTCCCTTGCATTTCAGTACAAAAATAATTGCCTTGCAAACTCCTTATAAAGCAGGCAGGTGTCAGCTCACGGTTGTAATTTTGTTCAGTTTCCTGATGTATCTGAATATTCTTCCCATCCCACCCCTGTACAACCATTCCCAGACACTTCAGGCAGTCTGTGGACTTATCACCTACTCATAGGGTTTTAATTTGCACACAGATGAACAAAACACTGTGCAGCTCTGATGTTCAGAAAATTACTACCTAGGGGGTCTAGATATTTAAATGTTTAATCTGAATTGTAATTATTACATGCTATGCCACCTGTTAAACATGTTATGAACTTAAGTATCCATTCTCTGGAATCAAATTAATTAATTTTTTACCACAAACGGATCTGACAATCAAAGATTTAGAGCACATTATGTTTGAACCAATTAGTAAGATAAACCCACAAGGTATTGCTATAGCTCCATTATTAAAAAAGAAAAAAAAAAAAAAAGAAACCAACTGGTCCCCAAGTGCTAAAAAGCTCCATCCATGCAACTCCACACCGAAACAAGACAGAAGTTCACATGATGCATGACAGTTTAATTTCCATCCTTTACCTGAGGTATGGCTCTTGAGCAGCTTCTCCATGTGTATAACATGACTGCATATTCCTGACCCTCTTCTAGCATTTCATTCTGTAAAACACTCAGCATAATTAGGCATTGCAATACAAAAGGGTTAAATTCACTTGTCTTCCGTCATTCCAAAAACCTTGTCCAAACAAATCTATTTCTCTTATCAGAATGTGTATGTACAAACGCAAATATATTGCAAGCTGAATGATACATCATACAGCATGTAAAACAGTATTACCATAATTCATAGGCTCAGCTGGCATATTGCATGTATTAGAGCTGACAGCTGACCAGCTACTGGTGTCCAGCTTGGCTATAATCCAACAACTAAGAAAAAAAAATTTGATTATTCTCAGTCATCTGTTTTAGCACCCAACCTAATTCCGAGAAAATTTGCATCATCATCTTCATACCACGTAAGCCAAAAAACACCTACCAGATCACTAATCAACAACTGCAGCAATTATGCCTATCTAGAAACAAAAATTACCATCTCCACAGATCAGATTGGTTTTTGTGTTGTTCTTTCTTCCCAAAAGTAAAGACACTGTGATCTTTAAATACAAATGATACTCTGAAGGGGGCTGTGTGTTTGTTTTTAAATTCAGGCACTGAAGGTGGAATGATCAAGGATGAAAGAGTCAACACATGCAGAGCAATATCCTTCTTCACATCTCAAAGGAGAGGGGCTACAACATCTAAACAATCAAAACAGGTTAAGGAGTTGCCAGATAATTTTAAGAGTAGATTGGCATAAGTTTACATAATTTTTAGTAGCACGTAATCAGGTGCTTAACCTGTCCATTCCACTGTTTGTGAATTGGCTTCTAAAATTACAGGACATATTATTCCTCATTTTCCAAGAGTGCCATGGAACAACTACAAGTTCAGTACAGAGCAGCGTTTGAAGCCTACAAGTTTCTTTGTATTCCAAAACAGCAACACTGTCGGCAGAGATGGATGGAGTTACTAGTGTGAAGTCTTACATTGTGGAACTGTTAAAAGCCACACAAAAGCATTCCAATAAGCCACTAACATACACACTCCACAGTGAGGAAGCCAACAAAAACCCTTCAACACCACTAAACTGACAAAGACGTACTGAAAATTTGGGAAGACGGAAGGAAATTTTTGACTCAAGTTACAGCAGCTACCTGTCAACACAACCAACTCATCTCAGAATACTGGACAAATGCACAATGAAAGCAAGAAACTTTTGAGCAACACTGGTTGATCAAGAAGACCGACCATTTTAAAATTATCAAGAAGTACATATAAGAAAAAGGAAAAGCCACACACTTTTCATCTCACTGCCTCCTGGATGTGTTTTAGGTACTGGTTTGTGGTTTTCTGTGACCACAATTCTTACAAAGAAATGCAAGAAGATATGCTTCTCTCCTTTTATTCCAAGCTAACACAAAGTATGTATCTGAACATCTACTTACCATGCTTGAATGGACTGTAGCTTGCTCAATGTATCTTGCAATGCCAGTGACAAATGCATTTCTGTCTTCAAAATTAGTGTTGAAGTTTGGCTGCAGAAAAAGCAAAATGCAGAAAGTAACCCTTGACAGGGGAAAGAATTTTTATATATATTGCAAAGATAAGCACACATTGGCTTTATTTTGTTTTGTTTTTTTAAAGCATGTACTGTTTTTCTTAACAGCAATGGGAAATGAAAAAACCTCTTTCTCCTATAATGACAACACACCTGGTAAAGCAGAGATGATGGCGGGGGTTCAATACACGGTTGCTGATCTGGCAATGGTAATTCTTCCAAGAGGTCCACATTGGACAAGGCATCCTCCAGTGTTACTTGAGCAGTCATTTTGCACCTGGATAAAAAATACATACACGCATACAGATATGTATACACACAATTTTTAATATGTCATTATATACACAGAAAACAAACGAGTAATACAAAGAGTAGGAAACTATTTCTGTTGTGGGAAATGTGCAACTTCCCTTCAACCATAACGGAAGGGAAACAGTCAAACTGAAACCCAGCTGGTTTTAGCACACAAGTTTAAAAAAGACTTTCAGGACTAACATCCTCACTTTTATGAGTTGAGAAATTTCTCTTCCCCCATGGCTGCACACCAGAAATATACAAAAAATAGAGGAAATTATGACCTCTAATGCACAGTAAAGGGAGGAAGACTAACTACATAACCTTCTCTGGTTTAATTAGAAGGAAAGGTATTCCATGGTCTGCTTCAGTTACAATAAGCACAGAAAAATCCTGTACCAAGGGTCACCCGTGCCACATGCAGCACAGGAGTGAGCAGATCTCGCCACAGCTTTGCCGAAAGCTCACCACAAGAGAGACAGGACGGGCTGGCCACCCCACCACTCAGTGCGCTCTAATGGCTGGGCAGAAAAACCTCACTTTCTCTTACCTAATTATGGTCCTGGGGAAAGCCCCACAGAAGCAGCATCTTTACCTCCAAGGAAGGGCTCAGCTGACAAAAAAAAAACAACCCAAAACCCAAAGCAAAGGGAAGGAAGCAGTCAGAAGTGAGTGACTTATCTACCTTCAGAGGCCAACCCTGAGTCCCAACCCATTGCTGCAAAGCTAACACACCACGTAAAGAGAGAGCTTGCTGACAACTTTAAACAACCACCATCAGAAAGGTCCATGGGCCTTTCACCTCTTGAAACCCCTGGCCAAACCTTGCTTCAAGCCTGAGCATATGGCTTTTCATTAATATAAACAAATAAATAAACACTCATATTATGCAATATGTGATCTCTGCCGAAAAACGAGAAAGGACCGGACTGGCAGGAGTGCTGGCTGGTAGACCTGTGCCAGGACACTTGCCCAACACCTGCCTACACCCAGCTCAAACTCCTTCCCAAGAACCACAGTTATTTTTGAATTAGACATTAGCAAAACCCGCAGCCTCCTCCCTTCAATAAATAAACAAATGCCAAAAGAAATGCACATCTGGGCAAAAGTCCTGTAAGGAGGTCAGACTCGCAACACTTTTACCCTAAAGGAAACAGAACAGAGTTGCTAAGCAAACAGGGCATTTCAAATAAACAGTATTTTAATTTTCAGTCTGAGTATCTCTAGATCAAGCTTTAGCTAAAAAAGAAAATAACAGATTACTTAAGGTATTTAACTGAGGCTCCTTCCAACTTAAAACTTTTCCTCTTAGCTTATCTATCAAAGCAGAAACTCCTGGCTGAGCAGCTGTCCCAGGATGTGCTCTCAGTTGGGACCGATGGGCCCACAACCCTCTCCCCCACTGTACTGCAGGACAAACTGCCTCGAAGTGCTAGCTCCAAGAAAGCACAACAGGGAAATGGTACAAAAACCTGCTCCATCGGTGCTCCAAAAACCACAGCCAAAACAGCTGCTACACCCCCCAAAAAAGCTGCTCTTAGCCATGTAAAGGGGAGCCGTCATTGAAATAAGCAAGAAAAGTATCAACACCCTCTACTCAATGCACACATCTTCCTTCTCTTCCTAAAACATGGTCCATCGATGACTCAGGTCCCTACTGCAGGAGACAGACAGGCAACCACAAAAACCATGCTTCTGACTTGTGTTATCTCAGCACTACAAGCAAATATTCTGAAGATATGGCCCTTAACCTCTGGATGAGTCATTTCAGAAAGGACATCTGGATGCTTTTGGCCTTAATATTTACAATTACACAGGGGTTATCCCCCAGCATCAGCTTTCCTTGTTCAGACTATCAGACATTAGACTATCTGTGGATTCTTTTTTAACACTGGGAAAATAATTTAAAAATAGAAACCACAGCAAACCCAAAATCCCACCTTGCTTACACTGCCGTCTATTTAATAGCACACACCTGGGAAACCCTGTTACCAGGCCAGAGGCACAAGCTCGGAAACAAAAGCTCCCTGCTGCCCTCTGGGTTGTGAAAAAGAATATGGGAAGGCACATTTTTCCAAGCCTTTTGACACAATTTTCCAAAAACAGATCAGCATTTTTTGAACGGGGAAAACATAAGCAATTGGGCACAGACTGTTACAAAAGCCTTTGTGTTTTAAGGTCGCTCGCTGACAGCCCTTCTTTGTAATTTTGCCAAAAGCTATCTGGTGTTTCACTGGCCACATTCAACGCTTCTGCTCTCCAGCCTTTTACTCTGGTACCTAGCATGAAATGAAAGAGGAAGCAGCTCCTTCCCCCCAGCTTTGACACATTTGCAGATGTTGAGAGGTCACGATTCACCCTTCCCCTCTGCCACCTGAAAAACGAGCAGCAGAGGTTTGGCAATGGTGGTGGCGAGGGGACATCGGAGCGTGGTCACACTCACACCATGTTAGCCATGAGACAGTGCTCCACAGCCAGGTGACACCACCAAATGGTCCTTGCCACCTCCTCGCCTGATGTGGAAGCCCTGGGACCAGGACAGAAAAGATTTCCTTGATGTTTAGAGGTTTATCCCCTTTCTTTTCTGTTTCTAATGTACAATGATGGAAGGCTGGCAAAACCAATTCAGAAAGATTGATTTAAGAAAACTAAAACTCCCAGGACACAAAATTGGATAGTTTTGCCTCCAGTCATTCACTATGAGTTCACCTCACACTGAGGTGAAATTACTGGGCAGGAGAGCTAATACTTTAACAGTCTCCTTTTTGGCAGAGAACATAAGAAACTTCAAAGTCCTACTTAAAAAATTCAGAAGCTGCAGTCTGATTAGGTGTTTACCTAAATGAGAACACATTAAAATGCTGTAGTCGTTCTGATAAATATACTGGTAAATTTATCCAAGCTGTAAGAATTATTTTCATACTAAATTCTTACAAAGTTGTGTTTTCAGCTTTGTACCTATCTGAGATTTTCTAGGATGGATTTTCTCATATAGAGGACATGCAAGATTTATTTCTGAAATAATCCTCTTTTTATTATCTTTGTATCAGGACCCATCAGTACAGCAGTAAAGTCAAAATGCACTCCAAGAACACGTTTTCTTGGAAGTACACGAGTTTAATTAAGAAACAACATCTTCTCTCCAGCAGAGAGAATCACATATGCCATCATGCTGTTTTGCTAAATTTTGGTGTTTGATGAGCACAACCAGCTTTCTAAGTAGGAGATAGCAGCATCTGTGCCGATTCTCAGCTCCTTTTTCTGGATTTCAAAGCAAAAAAAATGCTATCTCCTAGCACAGACAAGCTTCAGCCTTACACTGCCAAGTCCTATCACGTCCAAGGAGCAGAGGTATCAATCACAGGGTCTTTAGAGAAACTTTGAGTGTGTTACTGCAAGGTCACTGACTAGCTTAAATTAAGATATTCTTCTTTTTCTTCAGTTGTGGAAGAGATGAGCCCTGGCTGGGCCTGCTCTGCTCAGAAAAGCTGGTGCTGCAGAGAAGCTCACTGAGCTGCTACCACATTTTGCCCACAGGAATAACCAAACAAAACAGGCACCAGACATTGAAGTTCCCTTAGCATTTTTTACTTTTCCATTTAACTTCAGAGCTAGCTTCTTATTGAAATATATTCAAAAGATTTGCCAGTCTTTTTTAAATGTCATAATTCTGTACTGCTGTTCACAGCCATGTAGTGCCCTGCTTACAACATTGCTCTAGTATTCAGTGGAGATGAGAGTCAACCCTAACAGAGGCACCATTTCCACATTTCTATCCTTGCAGAATAATGTGGAAGTCTTTGCAAAAGATCCATATTCTTAATTCCAAGCATATCACAAAATGCCCAGCACGGATCTCTCAGCCTTGCTCCTTTAGGCCTCCTGGAGCTTCAAGATAAAAATATGAACAGGAAAAAAAATATAAACAGGAGCAAATTATGGTGAAAAGTCTTTTGGACAAAGAAAAAAACAAACAGAAAAGTGACAATAATTATAATATTAAATAATAATAATAAAGGAAAGGACTGAGAAAGCAGAGAGAAAAAGCATTAATTTGATAACCACTGCAAGAGAGAGGACTGCTGTAACACTGTTCGGCTCTCAAGCTCAAAGTTAAAAAAGTTCCCCCAAATTCTAGGGAGTTAAATAGTTCAAGAAAAACTTTTGAATTCATAAGATTTCTTCCAGTGACAGAGTTAAGCAGGTCAGATTATTTATCAAAGAGAAGATCAAAAGATAACTCAAGCGTTCAGTCTATAAATAGCTAAAACAGGAAAATGATGCTTGACAACAAGAGATAGTTCTTATACATGCTCAGCAACAGCATATGCAATACAACTGATGTAACTTGCAGCTAGCAACCAAGTTTTAAAAAAAAACAAATACAGGTAAAGCAAATGAAGTTAGGTAGCTGTAGGCTTCTAGAGACCTTGTTATAAACACAGAAATTACCACGCAGCTCCCTCTTTAGCTTCTACTACAATCCTTTGGCCAAGACTTCCCTAAAATGGTCTCTAATGGCCTTAAGAACATATCCAGCTGAGCTTTAAAAAGACATCAATTCCCAACAGAAAGTTCAACCTCAAATCACTGGGTTTGATGATATCTACTTACAAATGAAAAAGAAAGCCTTTCGTCACAAAAATTATCAGATGAAATTCTATGGCTTTGTTAGACAAGATCAGGAGATGATGAGGATGGCATCATGTTATCACAAAACATTTTTTTAAAAATTAAAAGGGATATTAAGTATCTTGGAAACATACAGAGAAAGAACAGGAAGTAACCCTCTCTAAGGTATTAGTACATATACCATTTAAATTACTTGCAAACTGGCATTATCCCCTGGACTAAGATTTTCAAGTGACCACTCCCACAGAAAACAGATAAATAGTATCATCTAGTCCTTAGGTTAAAGGAAAAAAAAAACCCAACTAACCAAAGAAAACAAGTGGAGAGCATCAAGCTACACACAT